ATGAAGTCATGAAATTTGCATACAAGTGGTACTAAACGGAAAGTATCATTCTAAGTGAAATGAGTCAGAAAGAAAGGGACAGACAGAAAGATTGCATTCATCTGGGTAACATAAAAGTAACAAAATAGGAGACCAACACCCAAGAATAGCCCAGATAGGTACCAGGAGGTTTACTCCATGGCTTGGAGGCCAGTCATACATGCTAGGGGAAAAGGCAGCTCAGATAGAGAAGGGAGCACCAAATTAAGGGTGTTGGGAGGATCCTCCCAGAATGGGAGATGCATGCTGAAAGTAAACTATAGACCGAATATAATTGCCACTCAATGCCTCTTTTGCAAACCACAGCATCCAAAAGGAGAGAGAGAACCAAAGGGAATGCCCTGCCACAGAGGCAGGGTGAGATGGGGGTGATGGGGGGTGGGAGGGATAATGGGATCAGTGGTGGTGGAAAATGGGCACTGGTGGAGGGATGGGTACTCGATCATTGTATAATTGAAACCCAAGCACAAAAATTTGTAAGTCTATAACTGTACCTCATGGTGTTTCCCTAATAAATATTTTTTAAAAAAATGTCTCAAAAAGAACTGACTGACAATGGAGTTATAGTATAGTGAGTAAGATGTTTGCCTTGCACGCAGCCCACCCAGGTTCAATCTCCGGTTTCCTGTATGGTCCCCAAGTACCACCAGGAGTAAATCCTGAGTGCAGAACCAGGAGTAATCTCTGAGCATCTCAGGGTGTGGCCCCAAAAGCAAGGAAACAAAAACAATTTACTTTGGATCAGGAAGATCACTTTTGACAGCCCCTACTCCACCTTAAGTACCAACCCTGGTAACCCCAGAGCTGGCCTGAGTGTTGAATATTGCTAGGCAAAGCCCCTAACCTCTAGACTAATGGGGATACTAAGTAATTAAAGCATTTCTTTTTTTAAAAATTTAAAAATTCTAGTGTGCTCCGGTAAAGAAACTACTAGAAAACCTCACACACAATTTGAGTTAACCACCTGTTTCGTTCTCTTCATTCTTTTTTGTTTGTTTTTATGTATTTCTTTGTTTTTTTAAAAAACAAATTATACTGAATCACCGTGAAATACAGAATCACAATGTTGTTCATGGTTGGCTTTCAGTCACAGGATGCTCCAATACTTATTCTGTTCTTTCTTATCATTTTATAGGGCTGAATCTTCTTTCTTTACACTTTTATTACTCTCTTTTGGGTTTATTTCAGACAAATAACATATTCCATATGCTGCAGACTTCTCATTTAGACAGAGAAGTCAGTGTGTAATGAAATAATGGTAGATGTGTTCTTTAAATTAATCTCAATCAAGTTTTTAAAGTGAAATCTATTTGTAAGCATTAGGGTTCTGGCAAAATATCTTGCAGACTGTTAGCCTTGGGTTATAGAACTGAGAATGCCAAGTAAAGAGTTGGGCAATGGACAAATGGGAGAATGATATTGGTGGAGTATCTTGGGCACTTTGTGGTGGTGAGGTAATGCAGCCGCATATATCAAAATCATAACACTACTGTAAACTTGTGACCCAAATTATAAGGATTTAGATTTGTCTGTTTTTTTAATGACTTTTTCAAGGGGTGGGGCAAGCAGATAGAAGGAGACATTGGAGCATTGTTGAGGGATGCTGACATTGGCAGTTGTCATTGGTGTTGGAACACAGTGTGACTGAAACTGTATTAAAACAGGATTTTAAACCACAATGCCTAATAAAAATTTGGGACGAGTAAAATTTCTTAAAATATCTTTAACATTTTCTAGAATTGTTATTTTAAAATCTTGTCAGAAGCCCTAGTTTGTTCATAGTCTACAAAGGAAGGTAGATAAATAAATATGTGCAGCTTAATAAAATCTCTTACAGTCTACAGTCCTCCGCTCTACCAGCTGAGCTATCGAAGGGCTGGAGTGATAGCACAGCGGTAGGGCGTTTGCCTTGCACGCAGCCAACATGGCCGACCCGAGTTCGATTCCTCCACCCCTCTCAGAGAGCCCGGCAAGCTACCGAGAGTATCTCGCCCCACAGCAGAGCCTGGCAAGCTCCCCGTGATGTATTTGATATGCCAAACACAGTAACAACAAGGTCTCCAATGGAGACGTTTACTGGGCCCGCTTGAGCAAATTGATGAAAACGGGAGGATAGTGAACAGTGAACAATAAAATCTCTTATTTCATCTGAACAAAATACCAAGGAATAGCATGATGTCTACTAAATGTTGGTGACCATGTTTGATACCCAGAAGGTACTCAAAAAACAGACACTGAATTAATGAAAATTGAAGATGCTTTTGTTATATTCTTTTCCTAATGAATAGTAATGTAGAAAAAAATCTAGATAATATTTTGAGAAAAGAAGTATACTTCTAGCAAAATCAGTTTTCTAATTTGTATACTCACAACCCTCTTTTAACACAAATAAATACCCCCAAGGAATATAAACTGTAGTTATAGTCTTTTATTTACTATGAATTGAGGGAATTATGTCTTCTAAAGTTGACTTCAAACTAAACCTAAACTGTTCCTCTCTTCTTCCAAATAAAGCAGAAAAAATCTCCAGTGGAACTCTATAGAAGGGAAATCTTTATTCCCTTTTTTTGTATGTTGGTCTTAGTTGGCATCTTTCTGCCCTCTTGAATATTGTGTACAGAAGAAAATTTGGCATATAGATTTATACCTATAAGGGACATGTACATTCCCTCCATGACCCCCTGATTGTGCAATTGCAGAGTTATTTTTTTTCCTGATAGCAAGCCACCTAAGTGTTCCTACATGGTTGAATTCAACTCTTCTAGTTTCTTTCTTCTGGCTCTTGTTTTGAGTCACCCAGCAGTGCTCAGCACTTACCTCTGGCTCTGTAATCAGGGATCACTGTGGCACTGCTCTGAGGATCAGTGGGGCACAGGGATTCCCACATCTGCCCTTTGAACCATCTCACTAACCCTGGTTTGTCTTTTCTTTGGTTGTTGTTTCTTTCTGTTTAGAACTTGAGGTGTAGAAATATGAATGCTTCTAAATCTCAGGATAATTTGGGTTTTGTATGTTTTGGGATCACCTCCAGTGGTGCTCAGGGATCATTCCTGTTGGGACTCTGAAGGCCATGGGTAGTTCTCGGAATCAACTGCAGATTGGCTGCATGCAAGGCAGACATACACATCCTACACATTGTAAAATTACTCTGGCCTTAATTAGTGTTCTCCCCCCCAAAGTGTACTGTGAGTACATAATAACCTCATGGCATATACCTCTTATATATGGACCTTTAAACAAAACATTGAAAATTTGCCAAGATATTAGAGGCTATTGGAGTGTATGTCTTTGTTTAACATAAATTTTACTCTAATATTATTTTAAAATCATGATATATTTTACATATAAGAATAGTACAGGGAGAAATGTGGGTTTTTTGGGTCAATCACTCCTCTTTATTTCTTGTTAGAGACAAGAATTCAAATCACGACCTGTAAACTACCTTGACAGTGAACCTAGCCAGACTCATCTTAAAAGGGTTTAGTGATCATGTAGCCAGATTTATTTACTGATAAATAAATTGATCACAAAAGCATCTGTTGATTTCAATATGGCCTATCTGTAGTGACTGTGGGATCAGAATGACATTTCAAATCCCAAATCCCTACAGCAGTTATCCCTGTCCCATTTAACTAAATCATCCCTCAAAATGTTTTTTTCAGTGCATGGTTTCAAGTTTTTAAAGATGGGAAGAAACAGAAAGTTCTCATCTTTGAGCGATATTCTGAAGTTTACAAAACACATTCTTGCTTTTGATCCCACTTGATCCTCATGGCAGCTCCTTGAGCTATACAGGATAGTGCTCTTTATAGATAAACTGGGCAGGGATCAGAGAAGGGGTGAGACACTGGGGAACAGCCAGTCAGAGGTGGGGGCTAGGAATCAGCTCAGATTTTCATCCTCTTCACATAGTGAAGTTTTCAGAGTATTGTTTTGATTTTTGTGAACATCAACTCCATTTTTAATCACACTAAACTCTCTACATTTTAGAGATCTATGAACAGACTAATTAGAAGTTAAACATCAAGTGCATGGAGCTAGAGACAATCAGAAGAGTATTTGGGGAAGCAGTCAGGAATTGAGACCCAAGTTATAAGGAGTTAATGGTAAAGCAGCAGATATTTTATTGTGAAGTGCTATGATTTAGAGGTAGGATATAGTCTTGAGCATTAGGACAATATCGGGAGCAAAAGTCACAGCATCAAAGTTGAACATCCAGGGGTCTGGTTGAATGTAAAGGATCTATGTAAGCTGAGCCTCTTCCAGTCAAAAGGCATACTTTATATGTTCATGAGAAACCATTATTAATATAATTGGAAACCATAGAATCTCAACATTTTGTTTTAAAAAGGAAAAAATAAATATTGAATAATTTATATTTTCCAAAAGGCAAAATTTGTAGTAAAGTGGCCGCTGTTAAGTGGCATATAAGAATGTTAGGGAGAAATTTTATATTTATGTTGAGTGAGATGGGTGTTTTGCGGTTGAATTTCAAGTTAGCTATTATGCTATATCCTTTCCCACTTTTCTTTTCTCTCTTCTTCTTCTATTTTATAGTATTTTATTTTCTTTGTGTTCTTCAAGATTCCAAAGACTCAAAGGTCCAGATGGTCACTCCTAGTGATATTTGCTCTGTGTTCAGGCCCGGCTGAACACTGCTGCTCTAACACTGGTGCAAGGAGATGCCTGCACTACACCAGCAGTGCTAGTGGAGCTATGTACCACTGTGGATCAAGTTGGGTGCCTCATGGACGTAGCACATGTGCTCCAGCTCTTTGCACTATCTCCCTGGTCTCCATTCTTACTGCTTAATCTTTTTCTGTGTCATTTTTTTAAAGCTTCATTGGGACCAGACATCTCCATGTAATCTCATTAGATGCATATTATTTGTACATGTAAGGAAAAGTATCCATATGGAATAATACTAATATTAAGGTTCTTGATCTCCCCCTTCCCTGCAGAAGAACAAAGGAACAGCATCATCAACTCCAGCTTAGAATCTGTCGTCTCATCAAATACAAACAGCATCCTTAACTCCAGCAGCAGCTTACAACCCACCATGAACTCTAGTGACCCAGACCTAGATGTTCTGAAACCCACTCGGCCCAACTCACTGTAAGTACAACACCCAGGGACCTGGCACAGCGGGCTGGAGTTGGTCAGCTGTGCCACACAGAGTGGCCCCAGGGCCCATCTGCCTCCAAGCATCATTCCATGAACATGCTGTGAACCTTCCATCTTGGAGCTTCGCGAGTTTGCTGCAGATGTTTTAAGCATCATCATGTCGGAAGGGAGTCATTATTTTTCCTAACACATTGCTTCTTGGTCCTGATGATTTTTGACAAACAATCCTGCTTGAGATGGCTTTGGGGGTGGCTCCTGCCTGTGCTGCTGGCTGCCGGGCATGCAAAGCAATTTCATTTCGTCTCTCAGAAGTCCACATACTGGAGCTGTGTGTCAGTAGCAAAGTTGGTTTCGTTTTTACAGATTGTTTCAGTTTTCCTTTTTCTTGTGTTGAGAATGTTCTAAAATTTCACTGAATCTAGCAAGAACTATTTCTAGTAGCCCCTTGAGACTGAAGATCCTCAAACCTTAGCATGACCATAATCTTGCAAGGAAGAAATTACACACCCAGCAATGTTCAGGGCTTATTTCTAGCTCTGTGCTCAGGGATCAATCCTGGCAATGTTTGAGGGGCCATATGTGGTGCTGGAGATTGAAACATGCTTGGCCATGTGTGCCTTAATTCCTGTACATATACTCTGTCTCTCTATGCCTCTCACTCTCTCTCTGCCTCTCTCGCTCTCTCTCACTGCCTTTCTCTCTCTGTCTCTTTCTTCTCTCTGCCTCTTTCTCTGCCTCTCTCCTTCCTTCCTTCCTTTCTTTCTTTCTTTCTTTCTTTCTTTCTTTCTTTCTTTCTTTCTTTCTCTTTCCTTCTTTCTTTCTTTGCCTCTCTCTCTGCCTCTCTCTCTGTCCCTCTGCCTCTCTCTTTGCCCCTCTCTCTGTCTCTCTCCTTCTCTCTGTCTCTTTCTCTTCCTCTCCCTCTTTCTCTCTCTTCCTCTTTCCCTCTTTCTCTCTCTGTCTCTGTATCTCTCTCTTTCTGCCTCCTGCATTCGATTTCTCATAGGAAAAAGACTAGGAGAGAGAAAAACCTTTGCTGTTTGAGTCTTGGGTTTTGAACTCTCCTAGCCAATAGGTAGTTTGGGGATTGGTTGTCCAGCTCCCCAAGAAACTAGATTTACTCCTCTAGGGCCAAAAAGTTCTCCTTAGCCTTTGTGGTTTCATCCCACATTGCTTAACATGCTTCTCCAGGCTACTCCACAAATCTTGTCAGTTGGAGCTTTGCAGAAAGAATGTGAGGCTGTGACCAGAACAGCTGGACTTTCAGACTACAGTTGTGTAAGACTCAAGAAAAGCAGAGTTGACTTCATCATTCTCTCTCCAGTGGAAATGTTTGAGGTTTAGTCATAGATTGCCTTCAAGTTGCTCCACTTGATGAGACATGGGATATCAGAATCTTCTGCCCATCTCCATGCCACAGTTTTGTGGTAGCCCTGGGATTCTGTCTCTTTAAGATATTAATAGATCTGGAGACTGCATCCAACAATGTTTTCCCTTAGAATATATGAAGGAATATTAAGGTTTAAGAGGACAAGTGACTCTAAATGTACTGGAGTGTACTTATAATGAAAACATAATTATTGCATAAGATGAAGTTTTATGTTGTCAAAATTAGGTCTCTTTGCAGCTATTGTCAGGTTTAAATATTAACCTTGATGTTCAGGAGGTTTAATTACTTACTGTTATTCAGTACATAATATGTCTGTTCACTAAGAAGTGGACCGTTGACTCAAGAGCTCAATATAATTGAACTTGTTCCATTGATGAACAGTGAGTTTCTTCTGCTTCTCCATGGCTGGCCTGCCCTTTGAGTTCTTTCTTTGTCATATGGCTCTGTCAAACACTCCCAGATCGGGTTTTCTAGATTTTACGGAGATTCTAGTTTCTGGGTTTTTTTCCTCCTCAATTTAAATCTATGTACCTGGCAGTTGCTAAAGTCATTTATTGCTCAGCATGTTGACTTTCTGATTCAGGATCTTTCTTTCTTTTCACTAGGGGATTCGGAGTGGGAGTCTAGGGACCCATAATTGTGTTTAGAGTTCAACAGCTTTACTTGTTTATCTGATGAGTACGTACACCAGTAAAGCTACTGGGAAATCTCGAGTAGAGAAATTGTGAGGTGGGCATTAGGTAAGGTGGTATAGCTTGATGAAGAACATTCTGACCAAGGGGGTGATAGAGGCTGAGATAATGTGATCCAGATTAACAAAATACAGTGTACAGATAGACAGGTGTGTTGGAGGGTGTGGTTCCTATATCCCTACTTCCACCAAAAAAAAAAATAATAAACCAACCTTTAAAATTAGGATGCTTCACACTAAAATCCAGATTTCATACTGAAACAGTTATACATGCAAAAGAAAAAGAAACTTCACAGCCTCACCTCACATACAGAGAAATAAATCTATATACACACATTGCACCTTTAAAAAAAATTAACCCAAAATTTTAAACCTAAATGGCAATGAATATAAAATTTTAAAATATAAATATCAAAATTATAAAATTTCCCAACGACAATATAGGTGAAAATATAAACAATGACTATGTAATAAAATTCCAAAAACACATTATTGATGAAAGGAAAAATTAGTAAGATGGACCTCATTAAGGAACCCTGCCCATTAAGGACCACTGCTGGCTGTGATTCCCACCTCCACCCGACCCAAAAGAGTGAAAAGTCAAGCCACGAGGAGAAAATATTTGCAGAACATTACTTGCTAAAGGATGAGGATCAAAAATATACAAGAAATCAAAAATCCAACAATAAACAATTCAATTAAAAACTGGGCAAAGGATCTGAACAGACAGTTCACTAAGAAACTATACAAAACAGATGACAAAAAAGCATACAAAATAATGCTTAATATATCACATCATTAGGGAATTGCAAATTCAAACAGTGAGACCTTACTACATACATATTAGAATGACTAAATTTCAAAACATTAACACCAAATGCTGGTAAGGATGTGGAGCAAGAGAAATTCTCTTTGATTACTTGTGGGATAGCAACAATGGGTCAGACCACTTTGAAATACAATGTGGCAGTTTCTTACAAAGCTAAATAAAAACATCTCATAGGACACAGTCTTGTAATCACAGTGGTAGGTATTTGCGCAAATGTGTTGAAAATGTGTTTGTTCACACAAAGCCAGCCCATAATTATTTATGGCAGATTTACTCATAATTTCCTAAACTTGGAAACTACCAAGATGTCATCAATAGGCAAGTGAATTAACAAAAAAACAAAACAAACCAAAAAAAAAAAACCCAGAAAGTGGAATATTTTTCAAAATGAGCCACCAAGTCATGAACAATATGTGGATGAATCTTAAATGCGTATCACAAAAATGAAAGAAGCTAGTTTGAAAAGATCGCAATGACATGATAGTGACTGATGGTGCTAGTCAAAACTAGAGCAACATGAGATTGGTAGTTTCTAGCATATGGGGGCTGGCAGTGTGGGTGGGATGTATGCCTAGGTGGAACATAGAGTATTTTAGGTCAGTGAAACCATTCTGTATAATACCGTGAATGAAATGAGACATACATTTGTTCAAACCCTTTAACTCATAGAACACAAAGGGTATACTCTAAACTATGTTCTTTAATTAATTATAAGGTAAAGGTAAAGGCCCTCCCGTTGATCGTCGATTTGCTCGAGCGGGCCCAGTAACGTCTCCATTGGAGACTTTGTTGTTACTGTGTCTGGCATATCGAATACTCTCGGTAGCTTGCCGGGCTCTCCGAGAGGGGCGGAGGAATCGAACTCGGATCGGCCATGTTGGCCGCTTGTAATTATGGTTTTCAATATTGGTTCATTGGTTTATACCACCCTAAGTAAGGGAAACTGGGAGCAGGCAACTGTGTATCAAAACTAAGCTATTTGCACAAAATTTCTACGGATCTAAAATTGCCCTAAAAATGAAGTATGTTAATACTGTTTAACCCAGATTTTCCAGCTTCTTTTGAAAAGGAGAAAACTTGACCACACCTAACCATATGTTCCCTGGTACCAGATGATGCTGTCTCTGTGTTCTTACAACGGACCTGCTTTGGCTTGTGTATCTTATCCCAGAATGCTTGGTAGATTAAGTATGGCAAAAAATCTTCACAACCTCTTCTATTCAGAGGTAGAGTTCTAGAGTCGAGGCTGACTTTTACACTGTTGATTAGACTGACTTGATCTGGCCCATAGAAGATCGTAGAGGTACTTGGATAACATGCCAGGCCAAACAACCTTTACAGCTTCCATTTCAGAATTCAACCAGCTTGTAAAACAAACAAAAAACCCTGACTAGCCTTCTTGAAGTTGAAACACTACCGGAACCAGATGCACAGGTGTTGTCTCAGCAAACCCATACCCAGGCCACTGATGAGCTGAATTTGGCTACATGAGTGAGAATCCAAGAAAGACCAGAGAAAAAAAAATTCCCAGCCAACCCACATATTCATGAGAAATACGATGCAGTCATTTTAAGCGACTCAGTTGGGGCTGCTATATTCAGCAATAGTTTACTGAGAAAATATTTAAAAATGTGAGACCTCAGGGTCACAGACACAGCTACCTGGGTACAACAGAAAAGTCTGTCAGGTGCCCTGTGAGTAAAGGAAGCCTGGAGATTAGCCTCTTGCTGTACTGTATTGTCTCTGAAAGAAAATGATTGATAAGTGAGATTCTGAGAAGTTAAGAAACAAAACAAAATTCCTAGCTCATGGCTAAGCAACTAGAAAGAGAGCCCAAGGCTGGAATGGAAAGCGGAGATGCTAGTCAGCCCTTGGCTCCAAACATGCCTCTGCCCCACTCCCTCTGGTGATAAGGTGGAGTTGACGTGCCTCAGGGAAGCAAGACTGTTCCATGGGCACTTCAAAGACTGCAGAAATAAAAGGCTCTACCCTCTCACAGAGCCCAGTGGGGCTGGCACCCCAGAGTGAGTGTCTCTCTGAAAGACAGTGGTTTATAAAGGAGGAAATAAGCAAACACTATGAGA